AGTGGGGTCCCCAGCAGTGGGGTCTCCAGCAGTGGGGTCCCCAGGAGCAGGGTCCCCAGCAGTGGGGTCCCCAGGAGCAGGGTCCCCAGCAGTGGGGTCCCCAGGAGCAGGGTCCCCAGCAGTGGGGTCCCCAGGAGCAGGGTCCCCAGCAGTGGGGTCCCCAGGAGCAGGGTCCCCAGCAGTGGGGTCCCCAGGAGCAGGGTCCCCAGCAGTGGGGTCCCCAGGAGCAGGGTCCCCAGCAGTGGGGTCCCCAGGAGCAGGGTCCCCAGCAGTGGGGTCCCCAGGAGCAGGGTCCCCAGCAGTGGGGTCCCCAGGAGCAGGGTCCCCAGCAGTGGGGTCCCCAGGAGCAGGGTCCCCAGCAGTGGGGTCCCCAGGAGCAGGGTCCCCAGCAGTGGGGTCCCCAGGAGCAGGGTCCCCAGCAGTGGGGTCCCCAGGAGCAGGGTCCCCAGCAGTGGGGTCCCCAGGAGCAGGGTCCCCAGCAGTGGGGTCCCCAGGAGCAGGGTCCCCAGCAGTGGGGTCCCCAGGAGCAGGGTCCCCAGCAGTGGGGTCCCCAGGAGCAGGGTCCCCAGCAGTGGGGTCCCCAGGAGCAGGGTCCCCAGCAGTGGGGTCCCCAGGAGCAGGGTCCCCAGCAGTGGGGTCCCCAGGAGCAGGGTCCCCAGCAGTGGGGTCCCCAGGAGCAGGGTCCCCAGGAGCAGGATTCCCAGGAGCAGGCTCACCAGCAGTGGGGTCCCCAGGAGCAGGGTTCCCAGGAGCAGGATTCCCAGCAGTGGGGTCCCCAGGAGCAGGGTTCCCAGGAGCAGGGTCTCCAGCAGTGGGGTCCCCAGGAGCAGGGTCGGGTGCTGCCAGCCCGAGGCTTGCCCTTCCTGCCCTTCTGCACAAGCCCATGCGTGTGACCGTCCCGGACAGGCCTGGGGACGGGTTAGCAGCAGAGGGGGGCGGCTCTGGCCAGCTCAGGGGACCAGACACCACAGGGGGGCAGGCCAGGGGGTGCCCGTCCGCGGGCACCGTGCAGAGTCCCACTCAGCGCCAGGCGCAGAGGGGCGGCCGCAGCTTTTGGGGGCCGGGGCTCAGCTGTGCATGGTGCTGCCGGGCTGCAGGGCTGGCAGGGGCTGGCAGAGCAGGGGGCCTGCCCCCCCCTCAACTCTGCAGCCCTTCCCGCTTGCTTATGGGACAAGTGGC